AAAGTGATTGAACGATCATTATCTGACTTGCTGGACTGGAATGGCGTCAGAGAATGCGCTGGTGATAGACTAGCTTACCATCTGACATAGGTAAATAGGTGACTGGAATGAATGAATGATTGATAGGTTAGCAGTTTCTTTTCGCATTCGTCATTCGTTCGGTTATGTTCAACTATTTCATGGCTATTTTCTGCCGAAGAGAAAAAGGCGTTTTGTAACGAGAACAAATTTCGTTTCGTGTTTACCACGTTTTCAAGTTTTACTTCAGATTTTGATTTCACAATGAGGATATTTACGAGTGCGTTTTATTGGTTTGTTAACGTAAGTTTGATGAAGAATTGGAATGAAAAAAGGCAGTGCATTGTGTTGAGCGTAATCAGGGTTGAGTTTGTTTGTGTTGATTTAATGCTGTTGATGAATAAAAATGTTGAAATTTTTATTTATTCCTTCGTAGCAATTGACTTCTTCGTGTATCTCTATTCGTTTTTTAGTGCTTAAATATACTTTATTCGTTTCTTGCGCCTTCTTCGATGATACATAATCATTTTCATGAGAAATTAGAAATATGAAGTTTATGAAAAGGTTACTTCAGGAGGAAGTGTGTATATGTATTGGTGTGTGAGTATCAAATTAAAGTGAGATGGAAGGAAGGTTGTCGGCTTTTGCGGTTTCGTTTTTAAGGGATTTATTAATTATTAGTTACGGATGGCAGATGGTGATTGAAAGAATGTGAGGCGAAGAGTTGAAGTGGATGGTAGTGTAGTGATATGTTTTATAAAAGTAATTTCGAGATGGAATTCGCTGTCAGTGCATGTTGAGATGGATGGAATTCGCTGTCAGTGCATATTGGTTTGCAACTGATTTGATAAGATATCATTTTGAATGATTCTTACAGTATTATTGTGCTGTGAGTGAATGCTTTACATGTTGACCAGATTGTGTGCACGATTGATATTATTTATATTGCATATTTATGTAAAGGCAGATTGATAGATATAAAATGAAATAAATAAATGGATTTTACAGTGATGTTTACGATACGTGAAATGTTCAATGATCATCCAATAATCTATCTATCTATCTCTCTATTCGATCTTCTCTCGCTCTCTTTCTCTGTATGTGTCGAGTGGATGCTGATTGGAAGAGGGTATAAACAGCCGAATGGGTCATATTGATTTTATGTGATGATGTTGATACTGTTTGTGAAGAAAACATAATGTTAGTATGGCATTCGAAGAGAATTCGACACGCAGATATTAAAACTCCGTCATGAACCATCATTGGTACGTCGCATCGCCTCGCCTACTCCTCTGCTGACTGAACAACAACGCTGATGGGGCGGAGCACTGAAACGTATTATATTCGTTGGTTTAGTGGGCCATTGAGGAGAGTGGTGTTTGCATTTGCACAGTAGTGCTACGTTGTGTGCTGCGCTGTGCTGCAAGGCAACGCTCTGTAGAGTGCTGCACGGTGGGTTCCGCAGGGAACCAGATGGATGATGGTTTCTGATGGTGCAGCATGCATGCATGTGGGGGCACGACGTATAAAGCACTGTCACACTTCGCACATACTATCCCCACCGTACCCGTTGGAGTAGCAATTTTGATGCTTGAACACTGAGATGAGATGTGCGCTAGGTAACTAGTTGATTATGTGTGCACGTAATGACGTGCTTCAGAAGCGTCATTCCGCAAAGCGTCATCAGCTCCTCATTAACCATCCATCCATCTTACCGTTTCACTGGGCACTTGCGGTTGTCCTCAAGATGGCTCTGAAAAGCGGATATAACGCTTGACGGTCTTCTCCACCAGTCTCTCTACCTTTACTTCTATTCCAGAAATACGCATGTCTGCATTATAAGATAGTTGGGAATTTTTCATGGGAACATTCTCTAGTATTGCTGGAGAATGTTCAAGAAAATTCTCATCAGATCTGTTATCATTTCGATATGTATCTCTATTATCTACGCATTCCACTCAGCGCAGGCATAAGCATCGTTCAGTGTGTTTTCATTGAAAATGTTATGGGCTCATGCATGCTTTCCTTGTACGCACCTCCAACAATGCTGAATCGATCTGATGTATCGAAACGAATCAGTATTTTCCTTTCTCATATTATTTCGAGCATTTTTCTCTCAGGAGCATCTCATTTCTCACGTTTTTCAATCATATTCACCGTTCATATCAATATCATGGGCCCACACTTCATCTCAGTTCATGAATTGCTGAATCCATGTTTTTTATTTTCCGATACTGATTCCCGTATTTGTAGATCAAGACTCTGCTAAGTCATGTTTCCTATTGATATCTTCATGCTTTTTCACATCACAGGGTACGAACTATTCTATATTCGCTGAATTCTGCGAGCTTCATGTACCGAATATATTTTAAAATCATCATGTTGATTTTAAATGTCAACAGTCAGCGCGAGATATTCTATGCGATCATCAAAAAAGAGTTGCTGAGGCTGCTCGTTTGAGTTTATCTAGATCCAGGGAGTATTATATACGTATGTGTCATTGCACGTTTGCCCTATTCGCATACATGCACAAGATTGGCCAATTTTTTCACGATGAAATAAATCCTCATGAAGCATTGCCTGCTTGCATAGCCTCTCACTGATCACTTATCTCCTATCTAGTATCTGCTTACCTAGATATGCAAGACATTCTCTCAGTTAATCTCACCATACTGTATCACTGTATTATCTGGATATCGTTGCACATATTACTTTTGTTCATTACAGTGTGAGAGTGATTTCTCATGATTCTAGTTGTAATTTCATGGACAACTGATGAAATCAATGCAAAGAAGATGTATGTACACGATAGTATTTCTCGTAAGAATGTATCCGAGAAAGTTAAAACATGCGAGTTATGCTTAGAAATATACAAGCAGTTGGTAAGAGGAACGAACTAATATGTATATATGTATATGAGAAGAATTTCCAGTTGAGCAACTAGAATAATTTGATGTTAGCGTTAACACAGTTACTGATTTGCATGCATCAAGTTGTAGGTAGTGTATAATTTTATTACAAGGGCTGTTATAATGAATGTATCGAGTGGTTGGCTGTGTTTTGCTTGAGTGAATTCAATTTTAATGTGGCATGTGCATCTGTGGAAGGATATGCGCAGGAAACACTGGCAGACGACAAGAAGTGAATGAACGCCATTGCTGAAAGTCTTTCATTGGACACTCTTGAGCTCTCTCTCGTTCAATAGGTCCGTCTCGACATTCTCAACAAGCCCAGCGATGCTAATCGTCGGGTTTCATTGCCCACCTAGTTGTCCACTTGCTTATTATATGATTGACGAGTGGATGCACACATGCACGAGAAAGCATTTCATTTCTGCCTCTCATCTATCAGAGCTTTCGAGCAAGCTAGCCGATATACCATTATCAACTAACGTGAGTCATACAATGTCTGTTTCATTCGCTGAGTCAGCAGCAGCACTATGACTTGAGTTGACTGTGAGCATCGCTACTGAATTAGCTATGTTTATGATCGTGAGTATGATTATGATAGCATCAAATTTATTGGATTGGCAACGAGGGCGTAGATTGATTTGGGGAGAAGGGTTGAAGAGGAAGCATTTGATGGTAATTTGAATCCATAGAGATAATGATGGGTTTCATTTGATTGGCTGAAGGCAGTAAAGAGCGGTGTGAACGGAGGGGGTACTTTGAGGGCAGTTTGAGATCATAAAATTAATGAGTCATAAACAGTGTACATATGTTTATAGATATCACATGTGGGTGACATTTGGTCGCTGGCGGAAAACAGATGCATAGTTTGAGTATCAATAGTCAGTGATTAATATCTTCCTGATGAATGCATGATGCTTTATTGCATTGTATATCCTAATCAATGTAAAATTCCCGTTGTTGCCTGTCTTCTCCGAATGTCGATGTAGAATTTTGTACTGTGATTCAGTAGCATCGAGTCGATTAGCATCACAGGCAGGTTTGTAAATTTCCGATAAAAGTACGCCTCTTGCTAAATGACTGTTGGTTCCAGCTGCCGTTTCGAGCACTTTCATTATGCGATTTCGTGACGGATACAGCTGAAACACACACATACACACCCATTTGACAATGTTTAGAAATGATGATAATTACGATTAGTTATTTGAAAAGGAATGATGGATGATTATGGGTTGCATTGGGTGTTCTGCGTTGGTTCATCTAACGCCTAGCGGAAAGTGCTGGATGTAAAATTTATGGCTTGTCATACGAACGAATCAAATTGTGCCGTGGAATTTGTGAAAAATGCCTTGCTCTGGTTGGATTCTTAGATTTTCTTCGCATACTCATACGACGATGAATCACGCGTCTTTGTTTGCTTCATTCATGCAAATACAAACATATCCATCCATGCACCTTTACATCTTCACGCATCATACTTTGAACTGTTTGGTGATTTCATGTGACAAACGGCTCTGTGCAGTAAAAACCCATCTTTTCTATTCATGTGCGTTACAAACTGTTCGCCTTTTATGGTAGATCACCACGTCCCATATTTTCGCGATTTCACTTATCTATCGATGAAATGATCGCAAAATCCTTCTCCATCACAGTTTCCCAATTCCTGTGTGAATAGTTTGTTCTTAATAATCATGCTCCATAAACAAGTTCACTCGCACCTTCGCTTCAGCCCGCAAACACATCATGATCATTCATCTGTAACTTTATAATGTAATTCGACAAGCCAATTAGTACAGTCGTTTTTAACGTTGTTACTGCTGTCAGCATACAGTAATTTGTAACATTGTCAGTGTTGTGTTGCATGCATCAATTATGTTTTATTACTCATTAGAACTGTAAATTTGGATCGTGAAACGCGAACAATTATAAAGTTAGTTATAATGAGACGAGTAATTACGCGTGTGCTGGTGACCGTTATATAAATATTCATTCATTTTCAGAGTTTTGTACAGGCAGCGTTGTGTGGTGGTTTTGTTTGGTGAAAATTGCTCATTCAATTCAAAATTGCAAAAAATGGTTTTATTGTATTCCTCATCAACATATCATCAGTCCAGTTGTTCATCGTCCGCATCCAATGCAACAAAACCGTTTTCGTCGACAGGACAACAACAGCATCTGAATAAATTCAATATATCTTCTGCATCTTCTTCTCCGCAACCTTCTTCCACGTCGATCCGATTCCAATCATCCGATACTCTATTCACCGCCCCCTTAGTAACCTCCTCTTCCCTCAGTGATCTTTCCTCTTCATATCCCTATCGCTCTCTACCTATCCAATTTCGGTGAGTGAAACACTTCTTGCTACTTTTTATTTTTACTTGAGGATCGTGCTGCAGCAGTTCTTTTCTCTTATGTTCGAAAACATTCTAAATTGTGCAACAAAACTTTGAATCCAAGCATAGGTTTAGAAATAACTGATGAAAAGCGATTAGATTGATCATTATCTTAGAGTAATTATTCACTTCGTGACGAAGATTTGGTATATGGATAAGTTTGGTCGATGATCTGAATTTCAGTGAAAGATATTCTTGATGTCAGTCTTCTGAAATAAAATGTAGAGGAAGTGAGCCAACACAGTCCATAATCCTTATTTTCATTAATAAACAGAGTGATTGTAAATACTAAGTTTCAGGTTGGATGAGTTGGGGACGGAAATGGAGTCCGAGGATGATGACTGCTCTGAGAGCTCCTCTGTCACCTCGGATGGAGCCTCCAGTTTCGACTCTAGGTAGGAGACAAAATAACATATTAAAGCAAATCAATTGCTCTTTTCTTTTAGTTGCTTACTGTAGCAGTAATTTCTGCTGTTCAGTCCGAATTTGAACACAAGCATACCCATTTTTCAAAAAACAACAAACTACCTGCAGTTTGAAGTTTTCGTGAAACATTCGTTCGGAACAGTCTGAATTCCAAGAACAGCTTCATATTAAGGCTGTTTCTAGATAAAATGTTTGCTTTTAGCTCAGTTTGCTCAATGGCGAACGAATTGGATAGCTTGAACGAACGTCGACGTGAAATGCTTCAACTTTCGATCTCTAAAATTCAGACGATGAATACATCAAACGTGGCTGTCTCGTTGCGTAAATCACTCCTCATCTATAACACGATGAAGTCTTTGCAGGTAGAGAGATAACTGATTGAGGAAGGCTTGAGACAGAAATCAATCGATAGAGATGAATGATCATTGATGAATCTCTTATCGATTGATTTCCTTGTATCTTCTATTTGCTGATTTCATCGTTGTCACATCACGTTGTCTCGTTAAGTGTAATCAATTTCTATGCTGTTTCTGAATTAGAATGCATTGAAGCTGTGCAAATCAAAGAGTTTCGAGGAAGAATTGTCGTTAACACAGAACTCAGGATATACTAAACTTTCAGCGAGAACTGGAAGAGAGTGGTGAAGATATGTATGGTAGTCTGATAGAGGGAAGTGGGGTATCGACAACGCGGGATGAAGATGTGCTGGTTGGTGAAGAGATGCTCAGAAGTGATAACATCTCAACTGGTAACAACACTGAACAACGTTGGAATGAGTATGATTGGCATGATATGAATAGCAATGACAGTCGTCGATTTGAACAATCGTCACTGTTCGCGTATGATCAGCGGGAGGGTCAACAACGTGACACTAGTAACTACTGGTGGAGTAGCTGGAATATTGCTGGTGATAATGATGATAACAACAATAACAGTGTCATGCGCTTCAACCATGACATTATTGGTGAGGGACGTTGCGAAACCATTCAGGTTCGCTGCACTCTTTACCATCTCAAAATAACTGTTCATTCAGCATTCGCAGTTTTGATCAGACGACGCATTGCAACACTCATTACCTTATGCTATCATCAGAGTTTTATGATTTTGCGATTGAGAATGCTATGATCTGTTGAGGAATCCAGTGGAAGTAATGGGGCATTAATGATTTTTGCGACAGCTTTTCTGTCTTCCTGGTTGGCCTATTGTCTTTAGAAGCGTTTAAGCAGGATGACGTTTGATGAATGAAAGAATTTACATGAAATCATCCGAAAGTAAAGCAACACGATAAAAAGAAAGCGGAGAGTGTGAAGCAGAGTAATAATCGCATTTCTTTTGCCTAACATACAGTGAGAAATTGTGTCGGCTAGTTCCGATGTTGAATCTGAAGAATTCGTTACTTTTTGAAGTATAATGGAGCTCTGAGTTTGTAATATATGTGCTCATGTTATGCGTAGGTTGTTAACGCCTTGTTCATAAATGATAAGCAGTGCCTTCGAAGTATCTGATTGCTTCGTTCAGCGAAAAACCTGCTTCTCTATATTTATCAGATCTCTCTCCGTACAAGTGCAAGCATAAATACATTGAGTAGGAGTGAATGTGTGGTTAATTGAGGTATTTGAAGAGGTAGATGATGTATGAGTGGCGGTAGCACATGCATAAGAACTTATCAGAAAGATTTGGAAGCAGTGAGCGATTGATTGATTGATTGATTTGTTGATTGTATGTGGACGTGGAAAACCCTTAGAGAGGATTACTGAGTAATTGCTGCTTTTGGAGCTTATAAGTTGGATATGAAGAGATCTGATGGGATGAAGCAGAAAAGCGATGGAATGTCTCTGCCGTATACTCAGGGATACAGAAATAAAAGGTGAAGCAACCAGTTGACATAAACATATTTCCACATTGAAGAAACTGAATCTGACTTTAGGAACATCGAACAAAATACACTGGCGAATATAATATATTTCCTGATATATCGTCGCAAGCATGACCACTTATTACTAAATAGAATCGTAATGCTGGCTAGTAAACTCGCATATAAGAGTTTAGTCAGCATACAAATAAATACGTTTGTTATCTCGTGCTAATCATCCACTAGCAATTTACCACGAGCTCATGTATGCTCATGTACATGTCAATCATTAAAGCATTCATTCCCAAGCTATTGCAAAGTATCTGAAATGTAGATAACGTTGAACGTATGATATGTTAGATGAGAGATGAGTCATACAGCTTCAAATTGTGTGAAATAACTTAATGCAGATCATTAATATGGTATCGATCAAATTGTTTCATAGTCACTTTAATTCATTTAGCCATTAGCGAATGTATGAAAATGGGCNGCATGAATTATCAAAGTTAATTGCATGGAATGCTTTATCTGTCTAATTCCAATTCATTCTGACGTAATGATTAAGAATTTTGGAAAAAAAAACAATACAGTGAATAATATTCATGAAACCTGATTAATTGGTTCAGTTAGTCATTAGGTGTGGTGATCAATTTCCGTCCTGTCATTCCTCTCCTGAGATAGCTTCCAGAACCGGCTAGTATTAAGAAATTGGCGCTACTGCAAATAACCAGTAAGTTAGATGCGGATGATGACTTCAAAAGATGACTACATATTGTTGTTCACCAGTTTTGAGTGATGAATTGTTGAATTTAAGGATCTCGAGATGTACGGTGACATTCTGAACGAGAGCAACAAAAAGAGCAACGATAATGCGGGTTATTCTTTATTAGGTGGTGCGTATGAGTATTGGTCGTCGAGTAGCGATGCAGTAAGCAATAGAGGCAGTAGTGCAGTAACAACGACAACGAACTCGTCCAGTGTCACCACCACCACCCCGACGTCGGCATATGCGATCGATGACTATCTAGGTATGTGGGGAGAGTGTGAAGATGACAACTACAATCCCTTGAACAACTGTAATTTGACTCAGTCCGAGATTATGCACATGTTCGGATTACCATCACATCATCTCAACAGTCAAGTGCTTTCACAAGCTTAGTCGACAACAGCAACAACTGCAGCAGCACAATATCAACCAACTGTTTCTTATTATTTCTTTGTTAGGCTATTCCATTTATTTGTCTTCATTTATGCTTCACACCTAAAGAAACATGCGCTTCAAGCGTGCGCTTCTTCATGATTCCAATTTTGGCCACATCATACAAATAACTCGGCTCTTTCTTACGTCTACAGACTGGACGTAGAACCAGATAGCTCACAGTTAGCTTCAACTTGAAATTAGAGGAACTGATTCTGATATTCTGAAGCATTTCTTTGGATTCACAAGAATTAGTGGGTAAATTGGTTGAATTTTCAAAATTTCTTTGGCTGTGATGTGGTTCATTTTGGTTCTCATTTGTTCCTCATTTAGGAGTTTAAATCGCATTGTTTTGAACTGATATAAGCACCGTCCTTTGCAAACATTCACAACAAACAAAAAAATTGTAAAATTTTTCTCAAAAATTTCTCTCTTCTCATTCTCATTGCCTAATTACACTCCTCAACATATGATCCACTCAACAAAACGTTGTTGTCTGAAGTCAGTTCCACCATTGACTGATTTTTGTTATCACCATTATCTAACACCATCCGCGAATCTGATGTGATCAACAAAATCTCTACTACCATCCAACCATCTCATTGAATACGATTGCATTATTGTGTCATCTTTACATGTTTTTGTCACATATATACATACACATACCAGCGTCCATCATCTCGAACCTTATTATCATTGTTATCACTGAAAATCCATTCTCATTTTAGTTCAAACCTCATATACATATATAGAATTCATATACTTATTTCGTTGTCTCTTATCATCACTTCCTTTGGGTTGAACCCGTAGACTGCTTTAGCTGAGCATTTGGAGTTCTTCGTTGATTACCCTATCAAAACCACTGTTTTTTTCGACAGACACCGATAAGCCAATGATAAGTGTTATCACCTCCTCATTACCCGTTATCTTAATCAACATCTGTTTTGTTCGATCCCATCCTCTGTCCACCCTAGCTTTTTCATAGTGCAGGCAACCATCTGCTAGTTGTTTTGTCCCAATTGTGTTCTTTTATTTTTGCTTTATATCGTACTGTTTATGTTGATGACTATCAGTCAAAATTAGTTTCTTGTATATGGGTCTTCTCATTTCATCTTCTGTTGCTAGCAAGTGTATCACTCTTCATTTCGGAGTCAGTAGATTTTATTTGATTTTTCAAATTTCTATTCCTTACTCTTCAGTGCTTAATTTACTCTTCTTCGAAAACCTCAATATATTGCCAACAGTTCTTATTTTAAAGATGTGTCTACTGTCTGATTTCATTCACCAACACTTTGTCGTTCATCGGTGTGTATCACGTGTTATAATAACTGTCAAATATCGCATGTGATTGTATAGTAAATCTCAATTCATTTTATCAGTCATCCTATACTATGCATGTTATCTATTCAGTGCTTGCACATACACACACAGTCCATACGTTTGAATGAAATGATCCACGCGACTGTTGGCACATTATTTAAAATGAAAATCTGAATTGCCATGCGGGATGTATGTTTCTGCAGATTTGTTATCGAATTGTTTGTTTTATGTTTTGTTATCAGATCATTCATCAGGTTATGTGTTCTTGTTATGATCGTTTGTGTAAGGACCATGTCATGTCTGGTGCCTAAATTTTGTGCATATTTTGATTATATGTAAGTTTTGTGAATAATTTTATACATTTCATTCGTCACTTCAGGGCATCTCTTCTCATTACATCTCTAAATCCTTCAAGCATCGTTCCATCTTCTACGACTGTTATTCGTTGTGTCTTTTACTCTGCATATTTGCTATATTGATCAAGTTATTTGTTATGGTTAAGTAATAATTGTTCATGTGTGTTCTATATGCAATATGTGTGCACGCTTATTCATACGGTATATGGTGCAGCTTTATCTCGGTATCGACGGGCAGCTGCGATACGGTATTGTTTGGCCTCGTGCGTTCGTCTGTCTGTCGATCTCTCCCTCATCTCAGTGATATTTTTTGCGTGTGCATGCGCGCTCTGTCACGTCTATAGCAGTGGCGCCCTATCATTATATTCTCACTCGTTTATTTGTTGTGCCGATGATGTCATTCTTCCATCCGGAAACTTTTTGCGTATTTTACACCATCGCCTGTTCCGGAAGATTCTCTTTCCATCTGGAATATACCATCACCCAGCGAGCCAGAACATTCTATCTCTCAATCCGGAATGTACCCAAATTTCGGCCTAAATTATACCGTCGCTTATTCCGTAAGATTCCATCTGTCCGCACGGAATATACCATCATCGGTGATCCAGAAGATTCCACTCGTCCATCGGCAATATATCCATCGTCTATTGATCCGGACGATTCCATCCTTTTGTCCGTTCGCAAACCGGAGGAGTTTGACAAATTCGAAACGAGTTATTTGGTTTCTTCACATCGACTGTGCTCCATGAAGCAAGCTGTCGTTGCATGCCTGATAATGCCAATAAGAGAATGTATTGTTGGTTTCATGATAATGTTTAATGTAGCGGATGATTGATATCCTGTTCAGTTGTTCTATTACATTACTCCTTATCATGCGTTGTTATTGTTTCATATTCTTCTCATTTGATGGTGCTTTTTTGCTTTAGAGGTCACGCAACGAATGCGTTTCAAGCATGCATGTGCCATAGTCAGCCATCGTCATCGCTGCGTACGTTGCATGTCCACGAGTAGCGGGTGCAGGAGTTTAGCTAGTTGAGTCGCTGAATGGCTGTGCCATTGGCGAGCGATCGTTTATTGTTTCATTCATAAGCCAACGAAAATCAGTCGTTCAAATATACATTAAAATATATTTATTTAAAATCATCTGTATTAATTTTGCAAGTAAGTTGAAAAATTCATGTAATTATTTTCATTATTTCATATTGTATATTAATTGTTCACATTACTTACGTACCACTCAAATATGTCTCAAAAGCGGATGGCCAAGATGTTGTAATTGGTCACTGTGCGGGTCTCTCTTATTATTTCGCTGTCCCTATCCCTCTCGTGTCTGTCTATCCACTCACAACTGTTATTACTCTCTGAAACATTTGTGTGTTTCACTCTCTTTCGACTGTGCACTTTTTAAGTTGTTCGAATAATGCATTTGTTTGTATTTAACGTTTTGTGTTACGGTACTCTACAAACCAAGCATATACCTGTATATATTTTCAAATGCATGTTATTGAGGAATGACCGGTAAGTTAACCGTATCAATCAGTCAAACCCAGAAGATTTATTTGCTTCGTGATTCAGAGAATACTTGATGCTCGTATATAACTTACCGATCATTCGATGTAATCGTATGTAATATTGTATAGAAAGGATGTTGGAACGGGCTCTATGCTACGGCCTTCAACGATTTTGAATCTCTTACGTGAGTGAAGTGCTCGTCAGATGGTTGGTAGTGCTGTCGTGGTGCAGGTCATGCTCCTGGCGTGTATGTCTCACGAGAGTGCGCATTCGTCGACGGGTCACTGCAACTCGGCACAAAACCTCTGTATGTGTTGTTTTAGTGGTTGTTGTCGCGTTATGTGCTGTACATTGTGGTGTGTTTATTTTGTAATAAACGGTAATCAATTAATTTCCTACTGTGCTTGTTCTTTCGGACGATGTGATTTGACTCCTATTGACCTCTGCATGTTGATTTTTCTTTTATATACTACATATATTTTTGTTTGTAACTTCATCTCCGATTATCATTTCTCCTCATGTATACATCATGTTAGAAGTACATACGTACGCGCAATGCTATACGATAATATTATCGTATTCACCATCTTCGTGCAAACTTCGAACACATTCTGTTTATTCTTTACCGTGAGTCGTCTGTCTCAATTGCCAACAAACGCAACGCGATATTTTACAATTAGTGTGTTGTTTCGTTCAATTATTTAATCGGTCATTCAATTGATATCTCTCATACAAACATACATTTTGCGTGTTTTATGGTTCGTTTTTTACTGCAATATTTTCATTTATTTGTTTGTTGTATGTATAATAATGATTGAATTAGTCATGAGATCAAAATTGAACGAATTGCGTGTTTGTATGATTGCATCATCATCCATCATGTACATTCTGATTTGTATATTGACTTCATTTGATAATCATAATTTGGATAATAGTGGTTGTTTGCTATTTGCACAAATCATGATAATTTTTATAATGATACAAATCGAAGTATTGTCTTAGATGGCGTATTGCACTTCGTTAATTTTATTGTATGATATATTCAATAAAATAAAATCATTCAGTTAAATCCACTGTTTTTCACCACATGTTCATGCTCTCATTTAATGGCTAGTGACTGCTTCAATGCTATGAGTGCGCCGTTCGAGAGAAGTTTCATTATAAATTAGCTATTAAAACAGTTATTAAAGATAATCAATGAGAGTTCGCGACCATTTTATGAAGCAGTATCATCATAGCGTTCGAAAATTCACTTATTGTGAATAACATCAATAACTAATGTTTTCGATGGAAGGAAATTAACTCCTCCAAAGTCCTTCTGTCATCTCAATTACTTGGTTTCTGCCTTTGTTGAGGAACGAACTGAATGGGTAGTGCATCTTAATAAGTTTTGATACAGTGTTATGTTTGGTTGGATGAGCGGTTGCTGAATTTCAAGGGCACGAAATGATTAGTTTAATAGCATTGACGAGGTTAAAGCATTGTTGAGCTACGTTCATGATTTCTTTCATGTTCTCACAAAGGCTAATGCAATGTTCATGAAGAAGCATCTGTCTTCTTATATAAATGCATGATTCTTTCTTCGTTTCTTCTAGCAAACTTTTCATCATCTCTAAATTCATTCAATCGATCGCGCAAATGCTAAGTATAAATTATAAATATGAAGATTCAGTTATAGTATGCAATGATTGATCTTTCACGTAGAAATTTTACAGTGGAAAGCGTTTATTTGAAAATCAATTTCCTGGAATACGCGATATGTTGTGCTGATTGATAAAGGGCCGTCAAAAGTTTTATTCGCGTTTAGTCATTACTGAATAACTTCAGTTAAGTATCAATTACAATCATTAGACACGATAAATTGCATAGAACTTGAAGCAGACATAAGAATCGTTAACAAATTATGCCTTTTTAGCAATATTAATATCACTTTATTTATCGATCAGGTTCAGAAAGAAGTTCTCTACGCGATCAAAATCATTCCCATCATATGGATTACCACTACTTTTTTGTCAGTCAGTCCTAGCATTGTTTTAACTGCAATCGAAAATAGTGTTGTTTTATGAGCTGCAGTGCATTCAAAGTATCTTCTATTTACTTACTGACCAGCGATTAAGCCTGCTCTGAGATATCCTTTACCATCTAGGTGTACTGCTTTGTATTTAGAGTTATAGCTTCGTTAAATTTTATCCATCAATATTTTGAATGTAAAAATCACTGGGCCAGTACTTTCTGACATCTCATTGGGTATTATTTTACAAATTTGTACGACTGTACTCAAATCAAAGGGATATGTCAAAATAACGAGTGAATCAGAGGGCTGTCATTCATAAAGAGATCGTAGATCCAAATCACAAACGTCATCTATCCACTCACGGCAATTATCTCACTTCAGTTTAATTACCCGTCCCCCTCCTGTCCACCACTCAACTCTTTCCGTTCGTTCTCCTCGCTCAGCCATCTAAATTTATTGCTGATCGTGAATAAAACATAGAAAGAGGGACGAGGTATAATTCCATTTCTGAATTATAATCATTGAACATTGCTCATCAATTTTTTGATTATTATTATCAGTTTAATACTTACTGCTAGAGAGATTTTATTACAACCGATTTAGCACTCGAGACTGTCAACGAAGCGATAAATTCGACATGAAATTAAAACAGCAATATAATTAAGAGACTATAATTTCGAGCAACCGAACATTGGAATAGTTTAAAATTACACTCAACATACGGCAACAAATTTATAGTTGTTTAACTTGTAGTAATAGGTGAATGTGTTTGTACTTTAAATGTGTGACTGGCTGATATCATGTGTGCTGCACATGATTTTTCGATGTTGACTGCATATGTCAAAATTGAGCATTGTTTTGTCTGCTCTTCAATTACTGATAACGAACTGCATGCGAAACGAATTCACTTTCGTAAAACACTTTATTGCCGTTATTGTTGATTCACTTCAAAGCCATTTCATTCACTTACTGATATCGTCTCGTTTTGCCGGCTGATGAATCGCCGTTCTATGTTTGGTTGTGTGCTCTGACCCAGTGCAGGAATTCATCGTTTTATTCATTGATAAACTAAAATTCATTTCGTGTAAACTTAAATTCTTTTTTTCATTCTGTTGTCTTTTAGTGTTGTGAATCGTTTTGCTATTATCAAATACGAACGAATTCTAACAATTCTCTCAACTGAATCAAGCATTTTCAACACTGGCAAACAAAAAGTTTTGCTTCCATTTCTTTTCAAAATGTTATTTCATTCAGTTCAAATAATATTCATTTGAGTAACCAATTCATTAATGATTCATAAGTTTAAGTAGTGAAAACGAATTTTCTTCTGGTTTCGAAAACGAACAGGTGCATATGACGATTGCATACATTCACGATGCGATTCGTTCATTCAGAAACGTATTGAGAGGGATATTCGTCTCTCTATTGCAAATAATGTCAAAGATTTTTTAAATTTACGATTAGTTACAATCTCCGTGTGGCCATTTATCCATCGTATTTATCTGGCGTCGTTGTGTATTCTTTTCGTTTCTGCATTTATCTCAAAGTCACTAAGAAGGACAACAACAACAACTAAACAATAGTGCATCAACTCAGCGACGCATTTCACAAAAATAACATTAGTTTCATTTTCTCGTTAAAATCACATAAACCGTAACATTGAAAAAAGACAAATTTTTGCCCTTACTAATACTCTAAGGGTGTCGAAAACAGTGCAAAACATTGAAAGTTTAGAAGTGAGCTGCTGAGTTTTAAATTGACAATTAACTCAGTGAGTCAGTCAGTTTTGTGATCGAACAACGGATGCTCATGAAACTAAAATGTGATATATTGAAATAAACTTCATTCATTAGGTATCAAAATTAGTGCTTTGTTTTAAATTTAATTGCTGATAGGCACTTGATGGACACTTTCCATCTTTTTGCGATCCAATCAACAATTAATGAGAAATGTAATTCATTGGCTGCGGATAAATAAGCTGAGGAATCCACTGTTTCGAAGACTATTTCCGATATTATCGTTTGATTCACATCAGGAATAGTCACAAGAACTTTATATGACAAGTAAAGTCAAGCCTTAATAAGAGAACAGTATAATATTATCGAACCTGCCATAAGCTACATGAAAATTGAAAAAAAAANAAAAAAAAACACAGAAGTTTTCCTCCAGAACGTCTACTGAGTAAAATTTCTAATTTATTGCACTGTTGTCAATGGCGTGAGACTGTTTCATCGGCCAAGTGAAGTGAGCCACCCTTTCTGGTATCATGTGATAAGATAAGAAGTTTCGTTCAAATGGCGTGATTTCACTTATACATTCCGAATCGTTTCAGTGTAAAATTGGGTGTTTGCTTGTAAGTTCGGTGTTCTCGTTATCGATTCTCAACATGTGGTGCAAATACATTTTCAAAAATATCTTTTCGGAAACGGAAAAATCTCATAGCGTTTTCTTACTGATTCAATTTGACATCTGTAGCTAATATAATAGTTGGTCATCATACACGTCAGTATATTGATCTTTTTGCTGAAAGCAAAATGAGCGTAAATTCGTAACACCATTGCCATGCCACACTCGTTTCGATGCACATTATCTGCCAGGATTAACAACGAGATTATCATTTCTTGATGTTTATTGTTCAGCTAAATGAATGATTACTCGTATCGTATAAACTCTCAGAAAATTCTGCATTCATTCTTTCGATCGGTCACCATTATTCGCTGTCTATCGATTCGAGCATTATCTTACACAAACACTGCAAATATTGTCGATTGTTTGCGGTTTGTCGACACTGTCATCGCAACGCTGCGTTTCATTATTATTCCATATCGCAGTCAAATGTTTGGATTCGTTTACTAAACAAACTGACGAATTTAACTGAATTGTTAGAGTAATTATATAATACAGAGTGGTGGTTTAGGAGTGAAGACATTCGAGGTCATTTGTTAGAGATTTGGATGGGAATTTAATGGCATCAGGGAAAAGTTTTTAATTTAGGTCAATTCTTGAATTGATTTTTTGGTTGCAATTTGTAAAATGATGAACTTATGAAATAACCTAGTTTGTGTAACAGGCCCGTCGCTTCATGGATGAGTGCATGTGCATTGTAAAACTCGTTAAATAAATGAATATATATATATATAT